TAAATGGCAGCGATAATAAAATAGATGACACACGATTTACGTGGAAACCCCAAATCGGGGAGAAAACCACGGCCGCTCAACAACGGCTCCCAAACTTCCACTAATCACCAAGAATCAAGTGGGTACAACAAGTTCTCCTCTCTAGTAAACACTAGAGGCATACACAATCATCAAGGAGCAACCTTGGAACAAACAACAATCAACAATTCACCATAAAATGGAGTAAAAACTCCCAAAAACGCAGGTCTGAAAACGCAGCAAGAAAACCACCTTCCGAGCATCAAAACGAGAAACTGACCATTGGATTTGAAGAGGAGTATGTGAGGAACAGCATACTAAAATTTGAGTACGATCGGACTTCGTTTGGCCTTTGATCCGGACGAGAAAAGTGGCTGCTGCACAGTGGCGGAAACCTGATTTTTCTTCCTCTTCTCCTGCGTTAGCTACTGCCTGCTTCACCTCTTCTTTTTTTTTTCTCTTATCTTCCTTTTAGTTACTAGCCACATAAAGGAGATAAATGGGCCACCAAAACAAATGGGCTAAAACTTTACACATAAAAGAAGCCCAAATACAAAAGATATATGTAAAGTATTGTCCAATTAAAATTGGACACTTCCTCCATGTAGGAGGGATATTTCCCAACAAACAACTCCTATTTTGAGGATTTTATCTTTCAACTCCTATTTTGGAATTTTGTCAATGTTTTACTCCTATTTTGCTCCTTAACCCCTAAAATTATTAAAGCATGGATGAAGTATAATTATCGATTCGTATCGAATCAAAATTTTCTCTGTAAAATTAGCAAATTTTTTTAACTTTTCCAAAAAAATTAATAAAATCATCCATAAAAAAGTTTGTCTGAAGAAATGGTCATCCCCTAGATTTAAATCTTGGACGGTCTATGCTTTGATCCCTCTAAAATTTATTAATTTTGTATTAAATTCTATATTTCTTTTTGCTTCAATGATCGTCCGGTCGAATATGAAGCGACCCTCGTAGATGGAGCTCATCCTTCATGGGGTAAGAATAAAATGTAATTAAATTGGTGGAACTATATGTGTGTGTGTGTGAAATTAATAAAAACAACTGGTAAGATTAGCATTATTAACAAATAAATTAAACAAGAATTGATTCAAGTCATTTCAATAAATAATACCCCGAGTAGCAAATACTAAACACTCTTAATATTTCATTAAAATTTTATTTTAGTATGCGAAATTAATTAGAATAGTTTTAAAGAGTGAAAATAGATTAAATTTCTTTTATAGAGGATAGTTCGTTAGAACATTATGTGGAGTAAAGCATAATAAATAAAAAAATATGATTTTCATGCTTTTATTCCTAAAGTAAGACTTATAGTGTCAATAATGTGAACCTAAAATACTTTTTTAAAAAAATACTACGGAGTGATAATATACAATGTCAAGATGGTTTTTTCTAGTTAATTCTTTTCTCTAAGCTAGCTAATTCTCCAACTATCATCGCTCTTGAGGGATGACATGTATAGGTCTCTAACCCTTCCATTTTTTTTCTCTAGAGAGATAAACTCCCAATATTAGAGGAAAAACAATAAATATTGCAAAATGAAGAAATCCTAAGTGAAGAAATCCTAATTAGGAAGGGAGTGGAAGCATGAATGAATATGGCACAAATTGTCAAATTGATTCCCACAAACATGTTGGCAACGTTAGCCCAATAAGTTATATGCTGGGCTAATTGTTAATGATCTAGTTAATCATGGATCTACTCAATGGGCCTAACTAAGAGAGGGACTCACTCCCCAATCATTTACTCCGCATTTATTAATAATTACCACACACAATGGACCGAACCCAACTGGAACCCGTGATACCGCCCGGGTTCAGGCCGGTTCACCCACTCACGCCCCCACCCCTCTACTCCCTTCATCTAAGAATTTCCTTTTCAATTTGACATGGCAAGAAAAGTTAGAAAAATTAAAAAATGTAAAGACTTTTCATGTGTCGTCTTTGATATGATGGAATAAATAAATAATGTAGATAAAAAATAAGAGTATAATGATACATTTATTAAAAGTTTTTTGCCAAAATAGAAAACGTAAAAGACACTTTAGGATATCCAAAAAGAAAAGTGGGAGTATTGTTTGGAAAGAAATTAGAATTAGTGTTTTCAAAAAATAATCTAACAAAAATATTTTGTTTTACTATTTTTAAATTCAATCTACTCTATATACGGAGAGTTTTTTAGTTATAAAAAATGTTATTCTCAAGCAAAATGAAAAGCTATTTGCTTAAATGGTCTCTCAAATGGTTCGAACAATTACTTAAGAGTAGATAAATTAAATCATAATTTTACTGTGACAAATAAAAAATGATATCCGACACGACTCTTTTATAACATGGGACTGAAAATATGAAATGTAGAGATTGGAGAATGTTGTTTGGAGTGTGAATAATAAGAACAAAAATGCTAGGGGTGCACCAAAGCTTGCTCACCACACAAATATAGTATTGATAAAAAAAAATTAATTAGTAGATAAAAGATGTATGGTTAAAATAGATGGTGTGTAAATGGGGTACACAAAATTGGTGTACCCTAATAAGAATATAAAATTGAAAAGAGAGATACTAGTTCAGAACAATTTTATACGTACATTTTACTTCCAACGACAATATGTGATCTCAGATTTATTGCAAATCAGAAAGTCTTTTTGTTATACGGATTTCGAGAATAACAATATGAACACGAAAAATACGACAACAGACTTAACGTGGTTCACCAACGTTGTAGTGGCTACATCCACAGAAAGAGGGGGAATATTTTTATTACGGAGAGGCAAGAACAGAATACAGAATAGGGATTAATAAAAAGTAAATCAATCACTTTATTAAGGACTTTGTGAAAACTTGAATAACCAAATAACGGAAATTAAAATTTGTACTTCAATTTTGTTATTAGCACTTTATAATATACTATCATCTCTCACACATAAATAATACGGAGTAATAAATAATGTATTTTGCAGTGGTAATAGCAAAAAGTAGAGTGCAAATATTATTTCCTCCAAATAGCTTCATATTTAACATCCTCAAATCTCTTGACATGGCCATGATAGATGTTGATTAGACGGGCAAAAAACGGATTTCTTTGTATAAACTCTTTAATTCTATTTCGTGTGAGATTTTACTTGATTGTTTTTATTGTTTTTTTTTTTTTTTGTATAGGCCAGAGAGAGTATAATTCTAGAGCAATATTTGGTAAAAGAGTACACACACGTTTGGTTTGTGCCATACATTTCCAGGGGATTATAAATTCATAATGCAACTCATAATGTGAATGCTCTCCCCAAACTATGAAAGCTGTTAACCAGTTTATATGCCCATTTCTAGGAAGGCAATTAAGGAATGTAATGTTCTTTTTTGAACCCCCAAGTCCCCCCAACCAAACCCCTCCCCCTCATGGGAAAATATAATGTCCATTTGTAGCCCGTGAGTGTTGCATAGTTGGCATGACAAGGAGAGCTAAGGGGGTAAAAATCCGAATTCAATTCCTGGCAACTGTGTTAGGAGACAACTATGCTAAGCATAAGACTTCTGCAAATACCAGGTGCAGACTCCACTCTTTGCCACCAACCTAGGATAAAAATTCAATTTACTTTCTCTCAGTGACCGTCTAGCTGAGTCGAAGGAGACCCTCGGAAATGGGGCTCATCATTTATAATGTCCTTTTGTATTCATTGCTTGAGCTCAAAGGAAAGGACTAACAAGTTCCTTTTTGTTTGTACAAAACCTTAATTAATGCACTGTGTTAACTTTTTTCAGCTACCAATACCAGAAGACCCAAGAAGAAAATGCAGAAGGAATCACAAAAGAAAGAAAGATAAGAGGTCAAATGCTACCAATTATGGGTGTTCACATGTAAAGAAAACAGATAAGAGAAACTGTGGAGGAGTGCTTTATTTGAACCTGGGAATGATACAACAAATTACATTACATCACCAAAAAGAATTGGCATTAAAACTCCCCATTTGATACAACAGATGATATGATATCACACAAAGTATGGCCATCAACCAAAACAATATCCACCATTTAAAAGAAAAACAAGAAAGAAAAGAAAATAAAAAAAAATAATCTCTTGAGCTTCACTTCATCCTTCCTTGGGAGGAGATTATGATCAGAGAGTGTCCTTATACAGATATACAACAACAACAGATCAAGTAGACAAACAAAGGGTGTGTGTGGGACTGTGGGTACTTTTGTTTTAACATGTTTAATAATGGAAAAATGAAACAATGATAAGAGGAAGAATGAATGAAGAGACAGACAAACCAAAGATCACAAAGAATGTTTTTTTTTGGCAGTTTTTCAGTGTTGTGATCCCTTCTTTCCACCATTGCCATAGTAACTGAGGTACCATTGAACAAATTTCTTCAACCCAGTCTGCAAATCTGTAGAAGGCTTGTACCCGAGCTCCCTCTTCGCCGAGCTGATGTTCGCGTGCGTGAAGGGGACGTCCCCATTCCTCGGCATCTTCATCACTTGCCTCTTCGCCTTCACCTTCAGCAACCTCTCCAATATGCTCACCAGATCTGAGACAGGGACAGGGGAGGTGTTCCCCAGGTTGAAAACTCTCAATTGGGCAGGGCCCTTCTTCTTCCCTCCGCTCCCTGTGCTTTTCTCCGCCGTGTCCAGAGCTGCCAGACACCCCTTCACTATGTCATCGATGTAGGTGAAATCCCTGGCCACTGTCCCGTGGTTTGCCCCTTCAAACACCCGAATTGGCTTCCCTTTCAATATGTCTTTGGTGAAGAAGAAGTAGGCCATGTCCGGTCTTCCCCAAGGTCCATACACCGTGAAGAAACGCAGTCCGGTCAGGGAAAGGCCGTAGATGTGGTTGTAGGTGTGGGCGATTGCCTCGCCGGCTTTCTTGGTGGCGGCGTAGAGGCTCGCCGGCTGATCGGTTCTGTCTGATTCGGAGAAGGGGACTTTGGAGTTCAAGCCGTAGACGGAGCTTGAAGATGCCCAGACAATGGCGGGTTGCGGGTTCACGCTCTTGCAGACTTCAAGGAGGCTGACGAGGCCGGCGATGTTGCTGTGGACGTAGGACGCCGGATTCTCCATGGCGTATCTGACGCCGGCCTGAGCGGCGAGATGCATCACGTGCGTGAACGGGACGATCTCGAACAATTTCTTCACCAGTGCGGCGTCGTTTATGTCCCCTTCCACGATGTAGACCCCGTTGCGTTCGAGGAGCTGCTGGCGGGCCCGTTTCAAGGACGGGTCGTAATAGTCGTTGAAAACGTCGAGCCCCACGACGCCGTCCCCGCGGCGTTTGAGGGCCGCCGAGACGTGGGTCCCGACGAAGCCGGCGGCGCCGGTGACAAGAACGGTGATGCCGTTTCTTGATCTGGGTTTCGCGGAGGCCCTGATCTTTTTCTCCCAGGACGGGCCGCCGTAGATGCTGGTTCTGAGGGATCTCCTGAAGAGATCTGAAGCGGCGGCGGCGGAGGAGGAGGAAGACGACGGCGGCGATCTGAAGAACATGACGTAGATCAAGGCCAAGAAGAGCAGGGACCAAAAGGTGAGTCTTGGGAGGGAGGAATGAAGCCGGAACCTATTACTATTGTAAGGAGGCTTGAACTTTCCTGGGGATGTTGGAATATCATCATCGCCAATGTGCTTCAACCCAGACATTCTTCTTCGTCTCCTTCTATTTGGATCGCCGGATTTTCTTGGTTAGGGTAAAAAAGGAGCAATCTTTCTTCTTCTTCTTCAGCGAATTACAGAGATTTCGTTGAATCTTGAAGAAAGGGCAAGGAGAGATTGTCTGGGGAGGGGAAAAATGGAGAAGAAAAGATGAAAGAGGTCTGTCTGCCCGAAGATGAGAGGAAGGGCAGAGAGGGGGGAAGAAGAAGTATTGGTGCCTCAAATGTGGGAATCTTTATGGTTTCTTGGAAGGGGTGGTTGTTGGGGGTGGAGGGTATTCCTTCTTCCTTCCCCTTTGGCTTTGATTTGGGCTCTGGTTCTACAGAAAGAGAGAAGAGAAGAGAGAAAGAGAGAGAGATTGATGATGGTGAATAAAGAAAGAAAGAAAGAA